CCAATTTCAACACAAGGAATCAAAGATATTAATCATTATGTTAATATACATGTTCTAAATCAATTCAAAGTCCATGGAGCATGAAATTCAGGAACGAACAAGACATAAGGTAAACCCAGATACTTAGAATTGTAACCCCAAAAGCCAAACGACAGTGATGAATTTGAACACCCAAAAAAAAGCACAAAAGGGAACTAAACCTGAACCAGTAGCGCCAGGTCCGGTGCTACTTCTGGAGATAACACTGCATCTCCGAATCACTTCGGCGCCACCGAAGCTAAAACTTGTAAGACTGAGATATGAGGAACATAGCTTGGTACTAGGAATCACAGCAAAGTTACAAGGATTAATACAGCGCTTGCTTCGAATCTTAGATTGTTGAGTCGAGGGGAAAGCAGAAGTGGGTGTTGGAGCTGAAGCCAGACCACTCATGCTTATTCTCTGTAACTTGTTACCGTCTCTTATTTTTTTGGTAGGAGTCTGTTCTTTCTTTATGAGTTCTCAGACTTGAGCTTCCATATATTTTTCTACCTCCTTTGCCTGCCATCAATCTAGTAGATTTTCTTGCAATAAAATGGGTTTGGGTTTTTGGTGTTTAAATCCAACTGACTGGGCTTGGTTGGTACTCGCATGCTGATGAACAGCCGGATCTACCAAATATACATGGGCTTGAAGAAGATTATATGTTTTTGGACTTAATCGTACCAAACGTTTCCATTCTATGCCTAAATTTTAAATTTATCTTCAAGCTTTAGAATATTTTAATGGATAAATTATATAAATGGTCGTATTTTCTTTTTAGGTATAATATCAAAATGTATCCTTAATTTTGATAAAATAATGATTTTAGTTTTTATTCTTTTTTTAACATTTTGGCCTTAATGTTTCTATTTTTTTAGTGTTAGATAGAAATCATTTGTTTGTTGATTAATAATCAAAAAACAATTCATATGTTAAACATGTAATGTGTCATTTCATCATATATGTACATGTGGCACATCACATTATCACTGGTTATGTTAGCGACAAAGCGTTGACTATTTGTCAACTAACAATTTTCATCCAATCATGAATCATTTTATCCTAAAATGAACCATTAGATCTAAAATAAAAATATATATTTTATTAAACATTAGATACATATTTTAGCATTATGCCTTCTTTTCAGTATTAAAATTTGATGATGTCATTAGGCCCTATAGAGTTGTTTCTTTATCTCTTTGATTTCATTGTATCACCCGGCCCACTAAACATGTACGCAACACTAACCCACAGAATAAAGATATAAAATTTATTGCCAGTTCAATTAAAAAAATTAAATCGGATTTTTTTTAAATAACCAAGATATTTCATTTATCGAAAGTCGTATAAATAAACGTCTTGCCAATTATAGACTGAACAAATACAATCGTGACTATCAAAAATAAAATATAATAATGATCGCTTAGAGATAGACTATAAACAAAACCATTAAAAAGTAAAGCAACGACGTATATAAACTGAACACATCAACAACTTCGAGCATCAAACATGGAGGATAGAAACTTGAAGAAGAACTAAAATGGCCAACAGAAAAAACGATCTCCCCTTAACAATAATTCCATCCGACACATATATGCGATAACCAACGAACCGTCTTGTACAAACTAACAAAGGAACTATACATCGAGAAAGCAACAACCATGTATTCAGGAAAAATAAAAAATCGAGAAGAAGACCAATAAAAAATATGCACCGAAAGCCCAAAAAAACTAGTAGCCATGATACCTTCATTAAAAAAATGGTCAAAAGTATTATTATAATAAATACGATAAAGCATAACTAAAAATGATAGAATGATAGTAGGAGAAGACTACTACCCTGCCATGGAGGAGGAGTTTTGAAAATTCCCCAAGGAAATTTGTATTTTCCGCATAGCAAAAATTGGGTTTTTTTTTAATGAAAAAAGTGTACAAGAAAACCTCTGTTCCATTTACAAAAGCGTCTGGGCGCTTACCATACTAGTTCATCAAGGGCGGTAGTGGTGGTCTCTTCCGGTCACTTTTCTACCATTTTTATTATATTGTTATTAGATTTCATTAATTTTCAATTATATTTTAACGTATTTAAAATAATATTTTTTCTTGACTCTTTATCCAGTATCATCACTACCAGTGTTTTTGGACTCTCGGTGTAGGTTTCTTCTACTGGTCTTCTTCTTGGTCTATGGTTTTTTGAAATTTCATGGTTGTTTGCTTTTCTGATGCCTGGTTTCTTTGTTCGTTTGCATATGGCATTTTGATGTTCTCAGACATAAGTGCCAGATGAGATTGCGGTTAAAGGAGGATTCATTTTTCATTCGTTCACTTCGGATATTCTTCATGTTTTCCTCCTTTATGTCTGATGCTTTGGTAAGTCAGAGTGATCCATCTCTATATGTCGTTTGCTCAATTGTCCACGCTCTTGCTTATTAGATTGTGAATGTCGATCACCAATATATTTTGTTTATGATAAATCTAAATGTATTTGTCTTGAATGCAATTAGTAATACATTATTGATGATGTTTTATTTGACCAATAAATATGTTACAGTTCTACAATAAAAATAATTGAAATATCTTTATTTAAAAGATAATAAATATGATTATAATATTTTACATTATTATATAACATTAGTGCACGAACGAAACAATTTCAATGACTAAGAAATTTATTGTTATCTTTAGAGGTTTTGGATTCAAACATTGCATATGCGAATAGGGATGGAGATGGGACCCAAACCCTACGGGTTCCAGCACGAACCGATTGAATCAGATGTTAAAAAATTTCGGGTATGGATAAATTTTTTAGAAGTTATGTTCGGGTCGGGTTTAGGGAAAATACTCAACCCTACCCAGAAAATTTGTAATTTTACCGTGGGTTCGGATTTTATATCAAAAAAGCAGATCGAATGGAAGGTGTATATTTTTCGAGTCGGGTGGAGGATGTATAATTTTCGAGTCGGATCGGGTTACCAAGAACCCGACCCAACTCATGCACATCCCTATATGAGAAGAGTATCAGCATTCATTAACAAATAATTGAAAACCTTTGAATAAATATTACATTATATTCACCCCAAATTTATTAGAAACTAATTCATTAGTGTTATATTTTTACGTTGATAAATTACTTGAGGGAAAACGACGTCTGCCTTAATTTTTGCCCTTTGTTGGTGTCATTGTTATTAAGAGTGTGTTTGGTTGGGGGAATGTGAGATTCCCATGGGAATAAAATCCACATTCCCTCGTTTGGTTAGCTGGGAATATCATTCCCGATAATCTTACATTACTAATAGTGAATTTTTTGAGGTATATTACCGGAAATTTCATTATCTCTTTTTTCTTAGGTATTATTAGATTACCGGCGTTTTGGACTAAAATGCCTTTTAAAAAAATTCTTTCAAAAATATCTTTATTCTGCTATTGAATAATAAAAATTTTACGAAGGTTAAATTACAAAATTATCCTTAAACTATTTTAGATTTACAAAAAAAATCTATAATTAAAATTTTATATGAAGTTTAGGGGTTAAAATAAAATTTTGTCCTTTCATTAAACCTTTTTATATTTTTAGTTTTATAAAAAAATTATAATTTTTATGAATTTAATTTTTTTTAAAGAAAATATATAAATATTTTCCAACTTGTTAAAAAACAAATATATAATAAGGATAATTTGGTCAAATATACATTCAAATAATCTTTTATTCGTTTAACCAAACACGATAATCTTACATTCCTGTTAAACCAACCAAACACAAAATACAACATTCTCAGTAATCCTATTCCCTGATAATCTTTTATTTCCACTGATAATCTTACATTTCCTAAACCAAACGCACCCTAAATTACCCTTCTTTTATCCTTTTCAAAAATGCCTATAATAATGTTGGAATAGATTTATAATTTTTTTAGTTTCAAATCAATAATAAAATGCCCTAATTAGTGTTTTCTTTTGACTTTTCCTTATCGTTGGAATTAAAAAAATAATAATAAAAATAAAGAAAAGGTCGTCGCCATTAACAATATACTTTTCAAACCGGAACAGATCAAAATGTGAGAAGAGATTGAAAATAGCCTACCCTTGACAATGAATAATAATAATAAGATACTAGAAAACTTTTTATTCTAGAAACACACAACACAAACCCAAAGCTAAATTGCCCTCCTTCATATATATTTTAGTCAAATTATGATATTATTTTCTTTGGAAGGGCAAATTATGATATTAGCCCCCTACAATTGTACTATTTTTACCAACCCCTACTTTTATAAAATTTATATATGTATATATATGAGTTAGGATCCACTTACACTGTGTAGAATTCTTTTAGTTTTGTATTTTTTAGGTCCATTGGGTTAGGAACTTTGGTCCCTGCTGATTAATTTTAATAAATAAAAAAATAAGTTTTATCGGGTCTCCTCAATTGAAAAAATTATATTTCTGAGAAATAAAAATATTTTCATTCCTTTAAAAAAATTTAGTTCCGCCCTTGGTAAAAAAGAATACTATTCTCTCTAGAGCATATAAATTCAAGCAGTTGTATCTGCAGAGGATATGTACATTGTTAGTAGGCTAAGAAATTTTGAACGAATATTACATTATAATTACTCGAAGACTATTAAGAAAAACAAGAAAATAAAAATAAAGTGAAGCAGAGTTTGTCTAATTTATCTTCACCCCACGGTTGTGTAGATATTAAAAATATTCACATCAACAAATGTCTCATTTATTTATTATTTAAAATGATAAAATCATGTAAAATTGAAATATGCAGACTGTATTATAAATTTGAGCATACTTAAGGGACCAAATCATAAATAAAATCACACGCTTTACATATTTCAAATTGAAAAATATAGTATTTGAATTTGAAAGCAGAGACTCCGTGGCATGGCAGCCCCGGCCGATAAACAAAATTTGAAAAGAAAAGTCAAGGAAGCTCTCGCAATAAAATCCTTGGAATTCATTTCCGTCAAAGCAAAATCCTTCATTTCCTCTGTTGTGTAGCATACACACACATAAATATTTGTTTCTATCACATACGTAGGGGTTAAGGAGTGGGTGAGATGGGGCAACAATCGCTGATCTACGCCTTCGTTGCACGGGGCACGGTGGTGATAGCCGACTACACCGAATTCACCGGAAACTTCACCGCCATAGCTTCTCAGTGCCTTCAGAAACTTCCTGCTACCAATAACAAGTTCACGTACAACTGCGATGGCTACACCTTTAATTATCTCGTCGATAACGGCTATAGTAATCTCCTTTCCCCCTCTGTCTGATCTTCCTTTTTACTGCTTATTTGATCCAACGAAGAAGTTGTTTCTGTATTTTTTCTCGTTATTGTTGATGGTCGATTTTTCTTCGCTGCTTAAGCTTTTTTTTCTTCTGTTTATTATATGCTTTTTATTTGGCTATTTTAAGTGTTTTGGTAAAGTGATAGAATCGGTTTTGGATTCTTTCAATTTCAAGGAAAGAGCATGTTAAGATTGTACAATTAATGAAGTCTGCATCTATTTCTCTGATATTTTATTTTGAACTTGGAAGTTAAAAAGAAAAAGATTGAATGTTTGGCCGATTCTAATGAATGAAATCTGCAAAATTATCTTGTGACAAAGGCTCTCTTAGCCATATTTAGAAGCAAAAGCAAATTCATTACATTCTGAATAACTAAAAATAGGAAATGCAAAATTTTGTAACTACCGAAATGCAGATTTTTCATTCATATAAACAATATATATAAGACAGATGCAGAATTTTATGTTAGGGAACTTGAACTAATAAAATTTCCGGAGACAAACTTGAACTAATAAAATTTCAGACGCCCCAGCCTAAGTCCTTCCAGGCTCTATAATTTAATCACATGATCATTCTTATTCTTAGAAAATATCATTTTACTTTTTACCATTTACTTTTGAGGAAGCAAAAAGTAAATAGTAATCAAGCCTGTATAAAGTTTTCTGCTATTGTTTTTTTAATTTCTTTTCTTTTACCCCTTTATCATTTTATATTGTCTCTTGTCTTTTTGTATGCCTCTTCATACGTATGATGCATAAGCTCTAAAGAACCAGCATGAACTGTAGCTAGAATGGTTAGAGCCTCGCTTGGTTTGAATTCATCCTTTCAGGTCCATAATTTCCCCTGAATTTTCTTTTGCTCAAATTATATGTTAAAGGCCAACAGTTGAACATCTCTTTTACTTTGACGAAAATCATTAATTCTAGAACATGCGTATTATTAATGCACTTGCATCACAAAATCTTGTAGTCATACCAGACTACAAACATGTTTGCCATTTTTCAATTTCACTTGAGTCTATTATTGTGTGTTTTTAATATATATATCTTTTACGTGTTATGCAAATGCATAACTTCAGCAAATGGTTAATGCCCTTTGGTCACACCCACTATAGTTGTAGAAGAAGAGCCATGGTTGGTCCTTTAATATTTGCTTGTATATTGAATGACTGAAAGCTTAATTGTTCATTTCTTTTTGGTGCTTGCATGATGTTTTCCTACTACTTCACAAGTTGTTTTGCACCCTCTACAACGAAACAAGGCTACATCATTCCTTTCTTGAATTAAGCTTCCTTCCTTCCTCTTTACAGCCTACTGCGTGGTTGCTGTTGAGTCTACTGGCCGACAGGTCCCGATTGCCTTTCTTGAGAGAATTAAGGAGGATTTTATCAAGAGATATGGTGGAGGAAAAGCTGCAACTGCTTCTGCTAACAGCCTGAGCAAGGAATTTGGGTATTTTCTATTCTTGACCGTTAACTACATTGCCTTGTTTGTTATCGATTACATTGATGCTATGTATTTATTACCATTGATCTAGGCCAAAATTAAAGGAGCATATGCAATATTGCATTGATCATCCGGAGGAGATTAGTAAGATTGCAAAAGTGAAAGCCCAAGTTTCAGAAGTCAAAGGAGTAATGATAGAAAACATTGAAAAGGTTGTCATTTCATAGTTGCCCACTTCTTGGGATCTTTTTGTTTTGTCTTCTTAATTAACAACTTTAGTTGACAGGTTCTGGACCGTGGCGGGAAAATCGACATTCTGGTAGATAAAACAGAAGACCTTCGCTCTCAGGTAACAACATATTATCACAAATTGCCTTTCTTTATAATACGGGCATTATTCTCAGATCAACTTCTTTTTCTCATTTCTAAAAGCATTAATCAACACCCATTTCTGAGAATTTCAAGGGAGTAGCTGAATGTCAAATTCGAAAAGCCAAAATTTTCATCTCAGGCAATGGATTGGGATGTTTGCCTTAGTTTACAGACCCTTTTTTTATGACATTAACATGGGTGCTTTTTGGTTGGGCATTATAGGCACAAGATTTCAGGCAACAAGGAACTCGGATGAGGAGAAAGATGTGGTGGCAGAACATGAAGGTTAAACTGATAGTCCTGGGAATTCTGATCGCCTTGATTCTCATCATTGTACTGTCCATTTGTGGTGGCTTCAACTGCTGAAGAATACCGTCATCATGGATTGGCATTGAATTATCGATGCTCGTCTAGTTACACATTTCTTGATTACACGTGCTTTTTCTTTCTTTTCTGTTGTGTAAATCACAGGACCATGTGCTGTATATTACAATTTGTATTTTTGGGTTTGTTAGATTGCATTAAGTTCCTTGATGTCTCATCTTATGAAACTGAATTTTGATCACGCATACTAGGACTGCAAATGAATTTTTTAAGCATTCGTATTCAACATCTATTTTGATAATAGATTGAAAATATTCATTCAATTCACTTTTCACTTTCAAAGTGTAAATAGAAAAAGATGGAAGACTTTTTTTTTCTTATTTGAAAGAGAAAAGATCCATCAGTTCCTTTTGCTTGATACATCAAGGATTACCTTTTGCTTGATACATTCCTGTTCATCAAAATAGAACCAAAATATCATGAGCGGTCCTATTCGACTCTTGGTTAACAAAATGTAATTGTAACCTAATTGTTATTATTATTTCTAATAATAACAAAACAGCCGCTCATCATTCCTAGTCAACTTGTCGAACCTCGTTAAATCTTGTGTTTCTTATTTTTTATTATTCATTTATTTCATGTGTTACTTAGCCTGATTTCCCAACAGTTCCTCTTCGAGGTCTCTAAGATATATCAGAAACGTGGTAGTCGATGTTGATCGCACGTTACTCTATTAGGAAATCTTTATGTATTCTGTTAACAAGAAGAGAATGTAATTAATATTGGAAGAAGGTAAATGTACCATTGTGTATTTGCTATTGTATCGACAATTTTCTCTGTGTTTGTCTCCACAAAGGTTGAGTTTTGAGTTTTGAGTTTTTCAGACCGTATATCGAACAGTTAAATAAGTTACCAACAAGTTGAATTTGCTCACATCAACACGAACCCATTTCATTTTTCACATTTTTTTTTGTTAAACTATATCGACAATTTTCTCTGTGTTTATCTTCTTATCCTCGTTTCTCTATTTATTCTATTGTTATTATTGAAATTATAGGAAAGTTCATTACATGGTCCCCCAACTATGCGACTACTTTGTTGAGTCCTCCGACTATTAAAATTTACAAAATGATTTTCTAACTATAGGATATTGCTTTGTTGAGTCCCTCAACTATTAAAGGTTACAAAATTATTATTCAACTATTCATTATGTTCTTAACTCGTTCTTTTTAATTAAAATTTAACGACAATCTGAGTTGGATGTTAATCTATTGTCTGAGATATGATAATTGTTTGAGATTTTAAGATCAGATTTTGTTATATCTCAGATAGGATATTAACATCTAGCTCATACTACCTTTAATTTTTTAATAGAAAATGACGAATTTGGAACATAATAAATAGTCATGTGACCATTTTGTAACTTTTAATAGTCAGAGAACTCAACAAAGTAACATCCTATAATCAAAAGACCATTTTATAACTTTTGATAGTTGGAGGACTCAATAGAACAATACCATATAGTTGAGGGACCATTTATACTTTACCCTATATATATATGAGGCATGATCCATTTACATTGTGTAAAACTAATTTAGTTTTACACCTTTTTAGGACCATTGAATGAGAGAAATTAAATGTTGAGTTTAACAGTAGAAAATAAAAAGATATTCACTGAACTGAAAAAAATAAAAAATTTAATCTCAACCTTTGATTTCCCTCAATGCAATGATCCTAAAATGGTGTAAAACCAAAAGTTTTACACAAGGTATATATATATATATGTGTGTATGTGTGTGTGAGATTAATTTGAGGTAAGTACAAGGCAATATATGTTTATAAAAATGAGGGTGCAACACGAGGACTTCATAGGAGGCCACTTTATATATATATATATATTGAAGGGTAAATTATGTATTTAGTACCTAAACTATCAATTTTGGTCCGTTTTAGTACTTAAACTTTCAATTTTTTCAAAATCATACCTAAAGTTTAGTTTTTGATGCATTTTAGTACCCATATTCAAAATTTAACGTTAAGCTTTGAAAAAAAACTGAAAGTTTAGGTACTAAAACAGATCAAAACTGATAGTTTATGTACTAAATGTGTTAAGTTTTTAAAGGCGATATACTAAAATGAAACAAAAACTAAATGTTAGGTATGATTTTGATTTTTTTTTTAGTTTAGGTACTAAAACGGACAAAAACTAATATTTTATATACTAAATGCATAGTTTACCCTATATCAAATAGTTTGGAGTGATTATAAAATAATATTTTTTTAACATTTTCTTAACCTATTAACAATACATGTATATTTTACAAGAACAACTGCACAAACTTAAAATCTACTGAAAAAATAATATTTTCTTTTATTATTTAGACAGTTTGAAACGGATTCTTTACATAGTTGCAGATTGTGAAACAATTTAACCGTGATAAATTAATCTTTAATTAGTATCATTATAAATATTTTAAGATTTGGATAATGTTAGTACATATATTTAGGATGGAACTAAGTGAGGGCGGTCGCTCCTTTAAAATTTAAAATTATCATATATTTTAGATATTTTTGTGTTTTTTTTTATTGAGTCTATTTCCCCCACATAATATTATTCGCTCATTAAATTTTATAAATTGAAGTTCATCCCCTCTAATATAAAATTTTGTGTTCGTCTTTGTCTACATATATTAGCTGACAATACGGTGATGGTCGAATAGAATTTTAATATTTTTGATTGATTATTATTATGTTATAATTATATAAATTTATGTGAAGTTAATTTAACACAATTATATATCAAATAATTTGTAGTAAGAACCAATGTGATCAATTTCCATAAAGAAAAGGCAAACAGGTTTTGGAAATAAATGGTATCATTATTTATAGCACGCCTTATTCCTGCACATCTAAAAGGACTAATCCAACCATAATACATCAACCCATGCATTTGAACAAGTATAATTAATGGTATTAGCAAGCTAACTGATCTCTAAATGAGGAGATCTCTTCAAAAATGGGCAATCTCTTTGATCGAACCGGCGTCCATTCATTCACCAACAGTTCAAGCCCATTGACGAAATCATCATCAAGTCCCAGAATATCTGATATATCCGATGCTGGTGGTTCAAATGCTCTGATTTCCATCAACAATTCCGCAGCTCTGTTCCTGGCTCTAATGTCTTCCGAACCCGGGACTTTTCGTTTGAGTATTTCGTCGAGCACATTCCGCGCATCATCGTGTCTGCCTTGTTTAATTAAGCTAAGACCCCAAGTTTCCCTGTGATATTCCGCCGTTGAAGTTTCAATTGAGAAGGAAAAAGACATTCGGGAAATGGAAATCATACCAGTAATCTTGAAGTTTCTTGCTGAACCGACACTTGGAACTTCTTGCCATGGGAGCGTGCGGTCTTGGTGCGTTTTCCATTGAAGATTTCCCCCTGGTATATTAATCTTAGTTTTCGTTTTAATAATTCAATCTGCTCGTCTACTCTCTCCCACATTTCTGCCATGAACAATGCAATTGTTTGATCATTCCAATTAAGATCATTTCACATTCATATCGTTTATTTTGTTTTAAGGCTCTAATTCCTTGTTAAATCATTATATTTAAACGATTTAAGTTTTTGACTTCTTAGAGTTAATGAACTAGATCTGAGAACTAAATTATAATTTTTTATGATCAAATTCGAATTAATGAAGTTGAGTCTCCATATTTATTGATGAAAAGGAATAGGACTGTAATGACTTTTGACGATTCATTCTTTCTTATTAGAATCAGGAAGTAGAGAATAGATTATCTCCGAATGGTCGTCTGGTTCTCTATAAACATATCTAATTATTCGTCATCTTTCTTAGATGATTTTTTTTTGTCTCCCTTATAAAATTAACGAACACAATTTTTTTATTTAAATAAAAAAGAATAGTGTCAAAATCGCAATAACCTCATTTCTCCGATCAACAATTAGCAATATTCGGATGAGAATAGGAAAGGATGGAGATACCTTGTATAAGTCGATGAGAACATTGTCGAGTGATTCCTGAGCTTGTTTGGAGCAAAGGCCTCTGAAAGACTTGATGGCCTCAATGGCTTCTTCACATCGGTTGAGCTGCTTCATCACCACCGCCATATCTTTCAGTGCACTCTCAACTCTATCTCCCGCATTTATCGCCTTCCAAAACAGTACTATTGCTGCTTCCGGATCCTTTTCTACCAGCTGCCTCAATCAATTCAACACGTAAGGATCATAACTTAAACCTAAAACTTTAATTCATTAAAAAAGATGATAAATAGTAGAAGATAGTAATGGAGGAATTGGTGTCCCAAAGTCACAGCACGGATGATCGTTTTGAAATTCGAATTTCCTTCGACTCATATAAAATTCTTGTGTAATTAATATATGTCTTGACTATTAATAATATTTCTAAAAAATAGGCGAAGATACCTGAGCATGCTTGGCTTTGACAAAAGGAGAATGGCCTTAGGCCATCTCCAATGCTTATCTCTACTCTAACGTATCTCTATCTCTACTCTAGAGATGAAACAGTAATTCATCTTAAGTGTTATCTCTATATTATCACTAACTCTACTTTATTCATAATATTTAACTATTATAATATTGATTTTGCAAATATAAAATAAAACATATACATTTCTAATAAATATCTATTTGAATTTAAAAAATTAAAAAAATACAAAAAATCAGAAAAATTACAAAAAAAATTAGTATGTTTATTTATCTAATTTTCATATATTTTTATCTATCTTGCAAATTAATATACTTGAATTTAAAAAAATAAAAAAAATCAGAAAAATTACAAAAAAATAGTATGTTTATATATCTAATTTCAATGCATTTTTATCTATCTTTTTTTTGAATTAAGAAAGGAGACTATTACAAAGAAATACTAAGTTCGGAGGGAGGCAGGACCATAGAGGTCACGGTGGAGAATAGATATAATCTCTTGGGAGGGTTCTATGTAGGTCTGAACTTGTTCATTTGTAGTAACAGTAGATTTGGCAAGGAAATCTACAGCAGCATTGGCTTCACGCCGAATGAGGATGAAATTCAATCGTCCATTGCTTTGAGATG